AAGGGGAAGACAGGAACCACCCCCACCCCTGGCCAAATGACAAAACCCTTCATGGGACAAAAAGGCAGATGCAGACTGGAAAACCAACCTCCCAGACAAGGCAGGCCTCCGCCAGCCCTCGGCAACCCCACAAGTCTCTCCGAAAAGGCGAAGGACTGACCCAGGCCCACAGAAGGGACTTCCTTCCCGCCAGACTGCAAGCTCTAGAGAGCTTTTCCACGCCCCTTTCAGATCCAACCCTTCCTCTCTCTCCCTCCCGGCTCCGGGCCATATTTCTTGGACACTAACTTCCTCTGTGCAGCCCTCGCTCCAGGCATACAAGAGAGCTTAAGGCAGACATGCTCTCCAGCCTCAAGGCATGCCCACTAACAAACAAACCAAGTAGTGGCAGGTGGCGATAGCGCAATCAAGGACACACGGCAGCCACAAGACCCGGCAACTGCATTCCTAAGATGTGCGCCAAAGAACCGAACACAAGGGCTCTGACAAGAACGTGAATGTGCACGTCCATAGCAGCACTATCCGACAGAGCCAAAAGGTGGAAGCAACCTAAATGTCCATCCCTTAGTTAATGGACAAACAAAATGTGCTATGTCCACATGGTGAAATACTATGCAGTCATAAAGAACGGAATACTCATACACACTCCAATGTGGATGAACCCTGAAAACATGCAGTGAAAGAAGCTAGACACAAAAGGTCACATGTTGTATGGCTCCATGTATAAAACAGGTAAATTCATAGAGACAAATCAGATGAATAGTGGTGGGAGGCTGGAGTGAAGGAAACAGAGAGTGACCGTCAATAGGTACAGAATTTTCTTCTAGAGTGATGGAAATGTTCTGGAACCAGGCAGATGTGATAGTTCCTCAACATCGTGAATTTACTAAATGCCACTGAGTTGTTCACTTTAAGTGAATGAGTTTTATGCTATTTAATCTTTACCAAGTAATACTAAGTGACCAGAAAAAGTGTTCTTGGGGTGAACTGAGCTCGGATGGTCAGGCAGATAGCTCTGAGAGGCCATGACCTTGGAGTGTGGAAGTATAAAGAAGAATGAGGCATGGGCATGTCATACACTAGTCCTCACTGGCCCATTTGGAATAAATGAAGGAATGCGTAAATGAACAATGCTACGAAGGCCTCCATACCTCAAGGGAGCCTTGGCAAAATATTGTGTGCCACACTCTCCCTCAAAACCTGATCCCCTTTCTGTACATTCCATCTCACCATATTAGGGATTCTTGCCCCTCTCCCCTTTCCATCATCCAACAGTAATTTGTCACTGGGATGGATGGAAGGGGGAAACTGGGCATCTCAGAGGTGGGGGAGATATCTTTTTAAAAAGTGCCTTCATTTAGGAGTGCCTGGGTTGCTCAGTTGGTTAAGTGTCTGACTTTAGCTCAGGTCGTGATCTCGTGGTTTGTGAGTTTGAGCCCTGCATCGGGCTCTGTGCTGACAGTTCAGACCCTGGAGCCTGCTTCCAAGTCTGTGTCTTCCTCTCTCTCTGCCCCTCCCCTGCTCTGTCTCTCTGTCTCAAAAATAAACAAATATAAAAAATTTTTTAAAAAGTGCCTCCATTTAGAAAAGATTTCTTAGGGGTGCCTGTGTGGTTCGGTAGGTTAAGTGTTCGACTTAGGCTCAGGTCATGATCTCATGGTTTGTGGGTTTAAGCTCCGCATCAGGTTCTGCACTGACGATACAAAGGCTGCTTGGGATTCTCTCTCTCTGCCTCTCTCTCTCTGCTCCTCCCCCGTTTGCTCTCTCTCCCTCTCTCTCAAAATAAATAAATAAACTCTAAAAAAAAAAAGATTTCTTAGATATAACACTAAAAGTGTGATCTATAAGAGAAGAAAACTGACAAACTGGACTTCATCAAAATGACAAAATTTTCAGGGTGTCTGGGTGGCTCAGTCAGTTAAGGACCCAACTCTTAACTTCAGCTCAGATCATGATATCACAGTTCGTGAGACACAGCCTGCTTGGGATTCTCTGTCTCCCTCTTTCTCTGTCCCTCCCATGCTCATATGGGCATGTGTGCATGCACATTCTCTCTCTCTCTCAAAAATAAATAAGCATTTTTTTAAATGACAAAGTTGTGCCCTGTGAAAGATATCATTAAGGAAAACAAAGAAAGAAAGAGGGGTTCCTGGGTGGCTCAATCAGCTAAGCATCCAACTCTTGGTTTCAGCTCAGGTCATGATCTCACAGTTCATAGGATCGAGCCCAAATTGGGCTCTGCACTGACAGCATGGAGCCTGCTTGGGATTCTCTCTCCTTCTCTCTGCCCTTCCCCTACTAGTGCATGCACACACACTCTCTCTCTCAAAATAAATAGATAAAAACTTAAAAAAGAGAGAGAGAAAGGAAGGAAGGTAGTAAGGGAAGGAGGAAGGAAGGGAGGGAGGAAGGGAAGGGAGGGAGGAAGGAAAGAAGGAAAGAGAGAAAGTACGACCCACAGACTGGAGAAAATGTTTGCAATCATATATCTGGTAAAGGACTTGTATCCAGAATACATAAAGAATTCTTAAAAGTCAACAATAAGAAGACAACCCAAATAGAAAATGGGCAAAAAATTTGAAAAAAGACACTTTACCAAAGATATGAATAGCCAATGAGACCATGAAAAAGTATCCAACATCATTACTTACTAGGGAGATGCAAATTAAAACCAAAATAAGGGGACACCTGGGTGGCTCAGTAGGCTAAGCATCTGACTTTGGCTCAGGTCATGATCTCATGGTTTGTGAGTCTGAGTCCCACATCAGGCTCTCTGCTGTCAGTACAGAGCCTGCTTAGGATTCTCTCTCCCTCTGTCTCTGCCCCTCCCCTACTCATGAGCATGCACACTTCTCTCTTAAAAATAATAAAACATTTAAAAATAAATAAATGAAAACAAAATACAATACCAGCATATACCAAAAGTGGCTGAAATTAAAGACAGGCCACATCAAGTGTAGACAAGGATGGGGTGCAGCTAGAACTCTTGCATATTTGCTGGTAGGAATGCAAATGGTACAGTCACTCTGGAAAACAGCTTGGCAGTTTCTTAAAAAGTTAAACCTACATCTACCATTGGATGCAGTCATTGCACTCCTAGGTATTTACCCAAGGGGATGAAAGTCTATGTCTACATGAAGACGTGTTCCTGGATGCTCACAGGGACTTTATTTGAAATCATCAAAACAGAACCCCCAATGTCCATTAACCAGTAAATGAGTGAGCAAATCTGTCCATCCACACAATGGAATACTCTGCAGCAATGAAAAAGAACAAGCTTCCAAAACTTGTGACACCATAGGTGAACTTCCAAAAACATGCAGTTAAGGAAAAGCAGCCAGACGTAAGAACCCACATATTGTAGGATTCCATTCATAGACAATTTCTAAAAAGGCAAAACTAGAGAGCAAAAGCAATTCACGGTATGTCTGAGGCAGAGGGCGGGAGTCTGGTTGACCGCGACAAGCTTGAGCGAACGCTTTGGGGTGATGGAAGCCTTCTGAAAAACTGGATTGTATTCAAGGGTGCATAACTCTGTACACTTATTAAAACTCAATCAGCTGCTCAGCTAAAATGAGTGAATTATATGCTACGTAATCAGCTATACCTTGCTCTTGCCCCCAAGTTATCGCATCCCAGATCTAGGGTTAGCTGTCCCATTTTATCTGTTCCTTACATGTCGCCTCCTGCCTGGTCAACAAGCCCTGACGACTCTACCCCCTGAATGTCTCACAAATCTGAGCTCTCCTCGCTCCCCACTGCAGGCCTCTAAAGCCCAATTCACGCGCCGACCCATCAAGTCTTTCAGGTCAGCACCAGCCCAAGTCTCCCCAATGAGCACTGGCTCCACAGCTCACAAGTAGTGAACAACTTTGTCACTTATCACACTGAAATTATTTGCTCCCATAAGCTCCCCATCAAGGAAGAGCCCAGATTTCCTCCGTGGACAGCCAACGGTGCTAGGCTTTCCCAGGGGGCCAGGATGGGAGGGTCTGGACTACACGGGCCTTGTGCAATGGGAAGAGGCTGTGCTGCTTGAGGCAGGTGTTTTCTCCCTCGGAGAATCCAAAACAATGCATGTAAACACCTTCAATTTTTATACCAATTCTGGGATTCAAGCAACCAGTCTCGGGACTTGGCCAAAGGAAAAGGGGGCCTCCCTCTGACCAAAGAGGGTAAATTCTGCCCCCTTGGTCTGTGGGGAAGACCTTGCTTCAAGTCCTTTAGGCAGGGGGAGGATCTGAACCCCACAGGGATGGGAGGAAGGAGCACCCAAGATGGATGCTCCTTGTGTTTTCGTTAGACCTGAGGCTCCCCAAGAACCACCCCAGCCCCTTAGGACCCCGGGGAACTCCAGACCCCTCTCACTGGGACCTGGGGAGGCAACCCCAGTCTCCCCCCTCAGGTTCTCCTAGGCCCTTTAGGCCTCTTTCAGGCCCTCAGGTTCGTTTGAGCCACCACCTCCAGCCTTCCACAGTCCTCATCCCTGCCAGGACCCCACAGAATGGGGGGGCAGACCACATTTAGACGCCTCAGGGTCCTACAGCACCCTCCAGTAAGCCTTGGACCTCAGCCCCTCTCGCTCTCCTCGGTCCACTCCTTAGAGTCCCCAAGACAGCCTCAACGAGCTCAAGACTGCCCATGGTCCCCTGCTCAGGCCCTCTCGGTCTCCCAGACCCCTGGCATGCCCAGTTCCCCCGTGGCCCCACCACTGTCTGGAGTCCATGAATTTCCCTTCAGACTTCCCTCGATGCCCCCTCAGACCCCTAGGGCCGCATGAGGATGCGTCGAGGTCCTGGGGGCCCCAGCCTGCCCTCACCTGCCCCTCAGCAGCCCTCGGTCCCCCCCCAGTACTCCATGACCCCCTAAAGCCCGTAGTCCCCCGCAAAGACTCTTGAGCCAGCCCAGGAGGCTCCTCAGCCCCTCAGGATCCTCCGGACTCCCCACACGTTACTCTGGCACCGCAGCAGGTACCGGCCCACCTTGCGGGCGGGTCTCACCTGCTCGGGCGCTCGGGGCCCGGGCCCGCTCCGAAGCCGCCGCCACCAGAGCCACCACCGCCACCGGACTCCGCCATCTTCCCGCCGCCGCCGCCGCGCGTTCCAGTGACGGGAGCGGCGCGCGCCGGCCCGGGAGACAGAAACGCGGGGGTGGGGGGGATGGGGGAGCGAGGCGGGACGGCACCCAGGCTGCCCTGCAGGGAGGGGGCCTCTGGGCGAGGGGTGGAGCCCGGCCTAATAAGGGGGTGGGTCTTGGGCGGAAAGGGGTGGAGTCTGCGGAAGCGCAGGGGCGGTGAAGGCGTAGGCCAGTTCAGCGCAGGGCAGAGGGGCGGGGCCAGGGTATGGGGGCGGAGTCTGTGATAAGGGGTGGGGCGCGGTCTAGGCGGCGGGGCCTAGTCTGGGAAGGGGCGGGACTAAGGCAAGGAGCGAGGGGTAGGTGGGACCAGGGAGAGAGCTCCGAAAGTAGGTGCTGGCCCGAAGGTGAAGTTCGGCTGGTCTGGGGCGGGGTCTGTTCCAAGACCGGAGGGGGGCAGGGGGAATGAGCGCGGCCGAGATGGGGAGTAGAGTGGAGAAACTGGTCCAAGAGCTCTGAGATCTTCCCCTCCCCTTCTAGGATCACTCACTTCCTAAGCTTCCTAAGACCTCCCTCAAACGTGGGTATTGTCCACTGCGCAGGCCTCAGACTTTCAACCAGGCTTTGGGTCCTAACTCTCCTCTGACCCTCCCAGAGCCTCCACCCTGAAACCCAAGAACATCCACCTTCAGACTCCAGTCATCTGCCCTCATATCACCTGCTTCACCCACAATTCTGGTTTTGACACCCCAAAACCCCTGTCCTCTACTTCAATCCTAACTCCCACTCCCCCACATCCTTGCCCACAGACCCTTCAAACCCACACTTATACCCCCAAAGTCCATTCCGCCAGACCCAATGCCCTTGGATCCTAAAATTCCATACCCTCCCCCCCGGCCAAGTACCCAATCTTCAACCAAGACTTAAAGCTGTGTGTCTGTGTCCCTCCTTTTTCTCTTTGTTCTCCTCCCTTCCTTTCCTCCCCTCCCTTCTTCCATCAACCCCCGCTCTAGACTCCATGGAGCCCAAGGCCAACAAGGCCTTTGTAAAGCTTCCAGAGCCTTCAAGGACACCCCCCCCAAACCCCAACCCCATGAAATCCTAGAATCTCCACCTCTCCAACCCTCCCTTGTGCAGCCTCCAGCCAGGTCCAAGGGTCCAAATGAAGTTCAGAGCTTTCCCTGCAATCAGCACCAGGAGAAGTGGGTACACAATGCAAGCGGCAAGGAGGAAGCAGGGGGCCTGCATGAGCGGGCTCCCGCTGATAGAACCAGACTCGGATCCATCTGCAGCAGAGGATCGGGTGGTACACAGTAGATACTCAGTCATTCGTGTTAAATGCTCAGGAGTTGACATTGTGCAAGTTGACAGATATCAGGTGCTGAGAGGTCCTGCTGACTTCTCCAGCACACAATAAGCGCTCAGTAAATGTTAAGTGTGTGCATGCATGACCAGCTCAAGTTCTGGCAAGCTCTGCACACACACACACACCCTTGCCCACCCGAGGTCGGCCTGCCACTTGAGCCTTTGTTCCAGATGAACCACATGCAGGCATCAAACCCTGCTCGGCAGAGACCTACAGCTCACACGCCCGCCACACATACGGCTGTAGTCAATGACATCCATATGCACTCACACTTCATAAACACCAAGATTCGACCCACATGTCAGACACACAGACATACGGCTGAAGATAAGCGAGAAGAGTTTCACTGGGCCCCTGGCTGTGTGCTCACATGTGGCACACTACAGAGGCATGGTGCAATGGACATACCAGGTATTCCAAGATCACGTGGCACAGGACAGCCAGTGCAAAGCCCCTGAGGCAGGAGCATGCCTGGAGTGTTGCCTAGCAAAGGAAAATTGAAGGAGAGGGAGAGGGGAAGAGAAGATGGGGTGGGAGGCAATGAGTGGTGCTTTAGGTCACAGAGGACCTTGTGGACCACTGTGGAAGCATTTCCCCTGCATGAAATGAGGAGAGAGAGGGGGCTTGTGAGCAGAGGGGATGTAACCAACACCAACAGCCAGAGGCAATATCTTGAATTAGGGACATTACTTAGGGGGCAAGTATTTTAGTCCAAGTGATGGGGTTCATCACTTGGGAAGAGGTGAGAAATGGTCCTAGCTGGGATGTACTTTGCAGGTGGAGCTAACAGAAGAGGCAGCAGATGGAATGCGAGAGTGAGGCAGAGCGAGGCCAGCGACCTCCCCCAGGGTTCTTGACCTGAGTCTGATTGGCTGCCATACCAGGGATGGGACACAGGCAGATGGAGGACCTAGCAGGTGGGGGACCTGGACGGCCCACGAAGGTTACTGCACACCCTCATCCAATAATGCTGACCTGTGGTCTGGCAGAGCTCGGAGGCAGGACACGGCAGGCAGCGTCCACAGGCCTGGCCGCCATCTGGCCCACAGCTGGCATTGCTCTCCCAGAGGCGGGGGCCTCACCACCTGCTCCCCTGCTCCAGACCAGCTGTGGGACTTGTGGCCCCAGGTCAGAACTCAGAGGCCTCCTTGTAACCCCCAGGTGTTACAGAGGAGGAAATGGAGATCTGGGAGCCAGGGGATGCCCCGTTTTAGTACAGCCTCGGGCTGGGGCTACCGTCTACCCTGTCTGCCCTTCACCACAGAGTGGCCTCAGAAACAGGCTGCTGGTTTTCCCAGTGCCTCCTTTTGCTTCCCTATAAACTAAACAGTCAACATCGAATAAATACTCACTACTTTTGTTGTTACCCTTAGTTCTGCACCTACTTTTTACAAGCTTCAAGGCCTTGGGCAGGACACTCCAGCTCTTTATCCCTCGGTTTTCCCATGTTTAAAGTGTCCCCGTGGCAGCTCAGGTCATGATCTCACGGTTCGTGGGTTCGAGCCCTGCATTGGGCTCTGTGCTGACAGCTAGCTCAGAGCCTGGAGCCTGTCTTCAGATTCTGTATCTCCCTCTCTCTCTGACCCTCCCCTGCTCACGCTGTCTCTCTCTCTCTCTCAAAAATAAATAAGACATTAAAAATATATATTAAAAATAAAAATAAATTAAAATATATTAAAAGAAGAAAATTGAGATGTAATTCCCATACCATAAAATTCACCATTTTATACGATACAATTCAATGGCACTTAGTGCACTCACGATGTCATATGAGCATGACATTTCCCTAGTTCCAAAACACTTCCATTGTCCCAAAAGGAAACCCCATTTTTCCCATCCACATGAGCAGTCGCTCCCCATCCCCTTCTCCCAGCCCCTGGCCACCCATCTGCTTTCTGCCTCTATGAATTTGCCTGTTTGGGACATTTCACATAAATGGGATCAGACGATATGTGTCCTTCTAGGTCAGGCTTATTTTACTTAGTATAACGGTTTCAAACTTCCTCCACTTTGTAGTATGTATCAGTGCTTCATTCCTTTTAATGACTGAGTAATTGGTCTATAGTACAGATGGAATACCTTTCACTTACTCATTCATCCATTGATGCACATTTGAGTTGTTCCCTTTTTGTGACTGTGACAAGCACTACTGTGACCGTGTGTACACAAATGTCCTGTTTTCACATCTCTCGGGCACATCTCTAGGAGTGAAACTGCTGGTTCACAGGGTAGCTCTATGAGGAACTTTTTGAGGAATTTCCATGTATTTCCATCCTCCCCCTGGAATGTTGACTCCCAGGGTGAGGACTCTCTTCTCTTCCTAGCTATGGTAGTCACATGACATTGTGAATTCACTAAATGCCACTGAATTGTCCACTTTATTTTTTTAATGTTTATTTATCTTTGAGAGAGAGAGAGCAAGCAAGGGAGGGGCAGAGGTGGGGTGGTGGCACGGAGGACCCAAAGCAGGCTCTGCGCTGACAGCATCAAGCCTAACGCAGGACTGAAACTCACAAATCGTAAGCTCATGGCCTGATCTGAAGTCCGACGTTCATCCGACTGAACCACTCAGGTGCCCCTGAATTGTTCACTTTAAAATGAAGGGGCGCCTGGGTGGCTTAGTCGGTTAAGCGTCCGACTTTCGCTTAGGTCATGATCTCGCGGTTCGTGGGTTCGAGCCCCGCGTAGGGCTCTGTGCTGACTGCCAGCTCAGAGCCTGGAGCCTGTTTCAGTCTGTGACTCCCTCTCTCTCTGACCCTCCCCTGCTCAAGCTGTCTCTCTCTCTCTCTCTCCTAGAAATAAATAAAAACATTAAAAAAATTTTTTTAAATAAATAAATAAATAAAATGATGAATTTTAGGGGCGCCTGGGTGGCTTAGTCGGTTAAGCGTCCGACTTTCGCTCAGGTCATGATCTCGCGGTTCGTGGGTTCGAGCCCCGCGTCGGGCTCTGTGCTGACTGCCAGCTCAGAGCCTGGAGCCTGTTTCAGTCTGTGACTCCCTCTCTCTCTGACCCTCCCCTGCTCATGCTGTCTCTCTCTCTGTCTCCTAGAAATAAATAAAAAAGAAACATTTTAAAAAAATGATGAATTTTACATTATGTGAAGACGTGAATCTTGCCTCAGTGGAAAAAAAAAAAAAAGGAGGAGCATATAGACCACTTCCTCCCAGGATTGTGCATGGGGCTCAGTGAAGAATAAACACAGTCGTCCTTGATCTTGCTCTTTGTCACCCCAGCTGGCAGCACATCCAGCACCTCCTTAAGTCAGATGTGAGTGAGGTCCACCTTCTCTAACTCACATGCAGCCTAGAACGTTACCTGCCTGCCTCCCCCCACCCCATAGCTACCTGCCACCCCCACCTTCTTAGGGTCCTACTGGGTGCTTGGTGACCCCCAGACATTTACCCTTGTCTTCATGATGACCTTGCAAAACAGGAAAACTGAGGTTCAGACCGCGGAAGCAGCCTGCCAAGGCTCAGAAGCAAGAAATGGGACCCACTCTCTGACTCTGAGGCTCAAGCCCTTTCCAGAGCCCCATGCTGACTCCCTTTCTCCTTTCTTTGATTCAAGCATTCAGCAAGTACTCACTGACAGCCTCCTGTGCACCAGATGCCATGGGGGGCATCGGACACATGCAC